AGACGCGGGTGAAGACGGTGGGCTTCTGCAGGGTGTTGCAACCCCAGGCAGAGACGAAGCTGGCCACCCCGTGAACGTACCACCGGCCGTCAGCAGCTGGGCAATTGAGGGGGCCCCCGGAGTCACCCTGAAATGTGGAGTGAACCCTGACCCTTGTGTTCCTCAGTCATACATGCAAAAATACTTCTCTACTGCCCTCTCCCAGGGAGGTAGCTGTTGCTTACAGAGCCCCCCCTGCTCAGGGACTGGATCCTTGGAGGGATTTCTCCCTCGACTCCCCTTTTGGTCCCGGCATGCAATGAAGCAGCAAGGGGCAGCCTAATCCCCCACAGTGCCATCCCTGGAGGTTCTTAAGAAGAGAGGGACTTGTCTGGAATGGCATAGGGACTCCTGCTCGAAGAGGGGGTTGGGCTAGAAGACCTCCAAGGTCCCTTCCGGCGCTGTTCAGATTGGGTTGGAGTGGGAAGGCCAGGGCTGCTAATCCAGGAAAGGAGATTCCAGCTTCCTTGGCCCCAATCTCTGAACCCCAGCCTGTATGCCGGACCCCTCCGGGCATCTACTCACGTTGCATCCAGCTTTGATGTCCCCACCGGCACACACCATGCTCTGCTTGACCGTGGATCCCCACCAGTCCGGCTGGGAGCAATGTGCATAGTCCACGACTGGCAGAAGCGCCTGCTGAAGGATGTCAGGCATGGGGCCTCCAGCTGGAAGAGAAAAATTTCCCCCCACCCCTGTTGAATGGCTTCGCTCTTTCCATGGTGGGCCAGTGGTTAGAGGGCAGTACTGCAGGCTAACTCTGCCCACTCATGGTGGACTTAGCCTTCCACCCTTCCGAGGTGGGTAAAAAGAGGATCCAGGTTATTGGGGGCAAGATTCTGATTCTGTCAACCGCTTAGGGCTGTAAAACACTATAAAGTGGTATATAAGTCTAAATCCTGTTGCTTGCTTCCTTCCTCCTCGCTTCCTTCCTTCCTTCCTTCCGTTTAGAATGTTGTATTACATGCTAACTCTGCCCACTGTCAGCAGTCAGTAAAATAAAGACCCAGATTGTTGGGGAGCGGGGGCATGAGGCTGCCTTTGTAAACAGCTTAGAGAGGGCTGTAAAGCACTGTGAAGCAGTATATAAGTCTAAGTGCTCTCTTTCTCTCTTGCTATTTCTCTCTCACTTTTTCTTTTTCTTTTTCTTTCTCTTCCTTCCTTCCTTCCTTCCTTCCTTCCTTCCTTCCTTCCTTCCTTCCTTCTGTTTAGAATGTGTTGCATGCTAACTGCCCAATGCCAGCAGTTCGATTCTCACTGTCTCAAGGTTGACTCATCCTCCCATCCTTCCGAGGTGGGTAAAACGAGGACCCAGATTGTTTGGGCAAGAGGCTGACTCTGTAAACCGCTTAGAGAGGGCTCTGAAGTGGTACATAAGTGTTATTGCTATTCCCACGCCCACCTTCCCCCCGGCCGGGACCTACTGTAGAGCGTGCCCCAGCCAGTGACGTAGCAGGGATCATGGTTGGGGAGCACCTCTCCTCGTGGGGGGAGGCACGCCAGCTGCACCTTGTCGTTGAGAACGGCCGGGCGGGAGAGTTTGATCAGG